GAGAACACAAAACAAAACGCGTGTCAGATTTCGTTGATACGTGATGAAAGTATACGTCGTAGGTACGTAGAATAAGCAATTCGTCGCTAAGCGATTGCTGAAGAATAATATAATTCAATATTTCTTTATTTTTTTGAAAATATTTGTTTAAAGCTGCAGTATTTTTTTATTAACTAACATAGTGAAGAAAACACGAATGCGTTTGGATATCAGAACAATGTATTCTAGGATCAAATGGCTTCACACAATTTTTATATTTATTTAAAAAAAAATACGAAATCATTTTTAGATATTTTCGATTAGTTTTCAATATCAAGTAAATAATTTAAGATGATTGCTCTTAAAATAATTGCCTTTGCTCTAATAAAGTCATGTTTCAATAATCTACAAGTCTATATTAAAAAAATTCAGAGAGAGATCAATTCAAGTTATGAATTGAAGTTATGCAATAACTTTGAATTCAAGTTATGCAATTATGTTAATGACATTGTCTTAATTAATTTATTAATAATACGTTATATATTTAAAATAATATTTAAACATTTAGAACGTCAATGGAGGAAACAAATAAAGGGGAGGAAGAGTGTGAGAGAAGAAACAGATCCTACAGTCCTTTGAGTCAAGATTTCAAGAGCCAGGATTCCGGATTCTCAGATTCCGAGAGATCGGACTGTTCGGAGGCTTATGAGAATGCAACTCCGAGGCGAAAATTGAGGAGAAAACGGATGAGACGTAGGCTCCAGCCAGCTTCTTCATGGCTGGAAGAAGGATCTCCCCCGATACCGACGCACACGTCCACGCCAAAAGATTCCAGGATATTCGCGAGAACTCGGCTAGAAAAATCTAGAAGCTCATTGCGAGAACGAAGGTGAGCAAGTTATTATCTTACATTAATAAAGAAAAAAAGTTAAAGACTCATTACTAAAGAAAAAAAGGATAAGGAAAAAGCGAAGCAAATTGCAGACATATCTGTTTTACTTCATTTCAAGCATTGTTTTTTTTTTTAATTTAGCGCATTGTTGATTCAGAAAATATGATTGGGTCTGATTCAACACGCGCATAGTTCTTTGGAAAGCACTATTGATATACGATATTAATAATTTTCAAGATTGTGTCAATGTGGGCCGGAAGATCGCCCGGGAAATCGTCGCGATAAGATTGGAAAAATATATGAGTCAATCGGTTGAAGGAATGCGACACGTAAGGCAATTTTGTCGCTGTCTCCGGCATACATAATCGAATAATACAAAATAATATAGAATAAGCGTCGAGAACACACGTGGATCGTATCGCATAGCTTATATTGTGTCGTAAGCAATGACGCACGCTCGAGAATCGAGCTCCTCTCTTCGGGTGTTATAATACAGCGAGAGATGCGCCGGCCTCGAGTGGATGATTATCAGTCCTCAGCCCGTGAAGGTGCCTCGGCTTATCGCCGAGTCATTGTATGCGTATCACGCCCTCGTATGCACAGCTAACCGACTTATTACAGCACGTAATGAGATCTCACCTCAACAATGACTACAATGACTCGAAGGGATTCGAATCGGTTAAATGAAATATGTGCGCAATTACGCATCTCGCGGTTGGACAGAGTGGTCATTAGATTGCGCATTATTTTCCGCTGATTAAAAAGCACTGATAATTGTATTGCTATGCTGTAAAACGCGATCATATAAATCGTACCGGAAACACCTATCATTGCACATATAACTTAAGTTATAAACTTGCATCTTGAGTAACGCGATATTATAACAAAACGAAATAATAGGAAAAGGAAAGTCCATTCTTTTGTATCCTAGTCTATCTGTGTATTCTGAGTTTTTCCTTTCTTTTGTTCCTCTTTAAAACGAATTCTATTTATAGTTTTATATGCTACATTTTTTCATGAATTACCTATAGATGGTTCAAAACATATCCCTGGCCTATTTTCACTATTACAAATTAAATTTAATCTTACAGTTCAATTTACTTTTTATTTTTTCTTATTCTTAAAACTAGAAAAAAATAAAAAGTAAGTTAAACTGAGAGATCAAATTTAATCTATATTGATAGAAATATGGATATTTATTTCTTGTATTCTATTGGGTGTTAAATTCGTCAGTGAGATCGTGAGATCAGGATGCCAATCATGCTGGATTTCCTTATACGGTTATTCTTTTCTGTTCGTCACCGTGTACATTCGTACGTGAGTCAATGCGACGTGCCGCACGAGGAGAATACGTAAATGAATAAGCGCGAGGCTGTGGCTGTCGGCTAGCCTGAGGTTTGAGTCAACTGTTTAGGCCGTGCTTTCGGTACGCGACAGCGAATCTACAAGGAATTTCAGCTCTAACGTGCACCGGCGCGCAGGTGGACGCATTACAATACAACGCAACATATCGAAGGAACGAGAGATTAGTCATCGCGGGGAAAAAAAGTATATTCTCCGCAGCGGTTCGATTAGTCAGCTTTTAAGTTGCCACTAATTGCCCTCGGCGCTTCCGTCTGTCCGGAAAAAAGCGATCGGCGACGATTACGAATACATTGCATTGCAATGCGTCTCACAGTAATAGAATGACAATAATCGTGCCGAGATCTGCGTCGACTCGCTATGACTCGTTTAAGGTGGTGTAATTTAAGAGTAACGATAAGTCAAATAAACTGAAATCCCAGAGATATTTGAAAGATATTTGAAGGATATCTGGAAAAGTAGGATGTTTTTTATTGTCTGAATGATATTTAAAGTTAATTATTTTTTTATATCCATAATTTCTTATAATTTATTATTCTTACCAAACTTTCTTTTCCAGGGTTGACGAGGATCAGGATAACGCATCGAAAGTACCCTTCTCCGTATCATTGGAAGAAAATCTATGTGATTTTCTGTACGCATCTGAACCGCCGGAAGATAGCATTCAGCCGTCAATAACGAAATCGTGGGCTTCCACTAACGCCGCGGAAGCAATCGCTGCCGGCAGGGACGTATTGAAGTCTAGAAATTATCGTCAATCATCATCCATGAGAGCATGGCTCACAGATCTCACTACGATGACCGAGAACGAGTGCGGCAATACGCTACAAAGCAAGAATTTACCGCGCAGAGAAGTCCGGATGATGTCCGACGAGGTTCACGCGCGGGATTTGAAGATGTTGTCTTCTGCAGCCACCGCGGCCGCAAGCAAACTTCTAGTCAACGCAGAACAATTCGAGCAACATTATCAGAGTATTGTAGAGTAAGTCGATTTTCTTTAATCCTCCTATATGATGATATCGGGACGAGCAGACATCTTTATTATCCCGAATTTATTGCATTCGATCACAATTAGAGATAATTATCTTCAATTAGTATTATGTACGGAATCCATGATTAACTGTAAAGCAAGAAAGCTACACATGAAATTATTAATATTTAAAAGTGATGATTAATAATTATAATTTAATAATTATTGTATATTAATTATTGTTGCGCAGGAAAATAACTCGGCTGGAAGGTGGCAGATTCGAAATGGAGCTTCTTCGCAATATAGAAGAAGCCGCATTTTCGATCCTTTCTCAATTAGGTGCACCTCCTCCCCGCAGGGTACAGCAGGGTAGTTTGAGAAGCATCCTCGCGCAATTGCAAAATATGAAAATATACGTTGATAGCACAGTCGACACGCGCTTAGATTTTTACATCGAGGTTAGTTATATCATCTCTATATTTATTGTAGTATCATCTTTATATTTATTGAAAGTAGTCATAAAAAAATAATGATACAAAAATCTCTTCAGAAAATAGTCCGAGGTCTCGAGGAAGCTCCACGGGAGGATAGTACCGTGGCTAGAGGCGCTCTGGCAGCCCTGACGGCTTTAGGATTATCAGATCCTCGTGCGGGAAGCAGCATAGCTCGATGTTCCGGCATAAAGGCTCTCTTAACGTGTCTCGTCACCGCTAGTCGACTGTCAAATGATCTCGTTGCGATTACGTTACGTGCTTTGGCCAGCGTGTGCAGTTCCGCGACAGCGATTGAATATTTCGCCCGAGAAGGCGGTCCTGAGTTATTGACTGATTTCCTGGGTGCGGAATCCTCTTCCGAAAAGGAAAAAACCGAAGCCACCGCCTTGGTAGTACAAATCACGGCATCATGGACCAATGCACGAGGTCTGCCGTATCTTGAACCCTTTGCAGACTCGCTGATTCCGGCATTGAATCAACTGGTAGAGAATACAAATTGCGCACAAACCTTGTTGTTGGCCGCCGCGGCGCTCAATCAATTGTCCAAATCGAGAATATGCGTTACGATTATATTGGAGGAAGACAGCGTGAAGAAGCTCCTAAGAAGCGTGAAGAAATCCGCCGGCGGTAATGTATGGCTAATGGAACAAGTTGCCGCATTAATCGGTGAACTGGCGCGAGTTCCCGAAGGCCGATCACATTTAGCGAAGGCACGAGCCTCTGTAGCATTAGTTTCTTTTCTCCGAATGAGACCACCGGGTTTGGAGGACGCATATCAACGGCTGGAGATTACCGCAGCAGCTGCGTTGACCCGACTCTGCGTAGAGCCAGAGATCGCGAGACAAGTGGTCGCTGTCGGCGGCGGGGATTGTTTGCCTAGATCATGCAGAGTAAATGAAGTTCAAATGGATCAAAAGGACGAGGAAACGCAGGCGGAAACGGGCTTGTTTAGATATACTAGATCATTGAGACGAGCGTGCAAAAAGGCTGCGAAACAAATCGGGATCGCGAAGGCAAAGGATCACAGTCCATTAGACTGAGGGAGTTCTGGAAAGGAAGAATTTGTTGTAACAATTCATATAATGTTGAATAAGTGAGAGATTACGCACAATGAAAAAAATTGTAAATACATTTTATAATCGCAAATTATAATTACAATAATTATATTGTAAAAAAGTAATGTGAAGAAAACAAGTATCTTTGTTAAATATATATGTAACTCTCGATGCGTATCGTATTACAAGAGGTGCGTACTGTAAAAATGTAAATGTTTTCTTTTGTCACGTATTAAAGAAATGTGCCATAATATACATTTATAAAGAAAATGTAAATCAATAATTAATCATTATTTTATTAATTAAATATGTCCTATTTTGATGGTCCTCCGTCCACAAGATTGTTTTGATGAAGAATGTGTACAGTAGTCTCCTGGCAAGGTCTTAACTCTAGATCGCACGAGCCAAGAACGAATTTACCTTCCGGCGTTTTAAAATAGTCCAATCCACGCCCGATTTTTATCACCCATCCGTTGCTCAGTCTGAAATAAAAAGAAAGATAATTGATAAATTCAGAATAAAAGAATTTTCAGAATGTAATAATTGTATTGTATGTGGCCTTACGTGATTTGTCTGTCGTGTAACGTCTCGGAGAAAGAAAAGTCAAAAGAAATATTACGAGACGCCAAACTTTCTTTCAGCTCGGCCAATCTGGAGATTTGGCCAGCTTCTTTCGTATTATAAGTCGTAAGCAGGGATATCTTGGACAGTGCACAGCACTTTTGAACTGCCAGCTCACATAGTCTGACCAGATTCTGACACTATGAAAGAAGATAGAATATAGGAATCAGCACAATATATCAAATTACATACGTATTTTTATATATTTACGTATTAGTTTCGGAACACAATAGCTAGTAGTAAGCCTTAAGTCTATTCTACAATGTGCTTTTTGTTTTCTGTTTTTTGCTATTTTTTACGTCTTGTTTTTTGCTTCTTTTATCTGATTTTTTATTTTATATTGCCTCAGATAGAAAATAACAAAAAAAAAAGAAATACAATCGATAAAACAGTTACAAAGAAGAAAAAAGCAAAAGAAACAGGAAAGAGCACATTATAGAATAGACTTTAAGCCGTAAGAAATCAATCAATCATAGTCGATTATACTCCTTATATTCGATGTTTTAGACAATATTTTATCTGGGGACTCTACAATTAGGTGTTAAATTACAGTTAAGTAATTCAATTTGACAATTACTGACGATAAAATGATAATTTATTGGTAATTTTGACAAAATTTGTTGTTTTATACACAAATAGATTTTATTTATATTTTTCACATTAATGCATAATATAAAACAATATTCTTCTCAACGAAAATATAATAATTATGTGCTATAAACCATGCTTGATCAATAAGAAGTCAATAGCCAAAATTTGAATGAATAAGAATATATAATACATTATAGTTATAGATATTATCACCGATCTGCTTCAGTGAAATACTCTCTCTGTTTTCGCCAACCTTCGATTGGCAGCAGTCGGAAGTAAAAATCGCTGATAGAATAATAATAGGGGACAATTCACTAAATCTAAACGTATAATCTAATCAATGCCGTTTTCAATATATGATTCCCTAGAGATTTGATACAGTGACCAAAAAATAAAAAACAATGCAGATTAAAAATTCTAGTATTTTTTTACATAATTCCTTGTGTTATATTTTAAAATCTAGCTTCTTACCAAATTATTTAAAATTATTCTATATTTAGATATTCCAATAATGCAATTACGAAAAGATTATATTTTATTTTTGATGTATAATTGTGTCTTTGTTTTTACTCTAATAAAAATTGTCGCTAACAATCTAGTCACTAAAATAGCAAGCAAATAAATGAAAGTTTTATAAGTTTAATTATAAAGTAAAAATATAAAAATACAAATTTAAAAACTCAAAATATGTACAAAATAGTTTAAGATTATTGTACTTGTTACGTTTTTTCAGATTCCTAATAAAACAAACTTATTTGAATTGAATTCCTTTAGTTTAGATACCATATACCTAATCTTTTATCATATATTCAATACATAATTAAAAGAATAATATCATATAATATTACATATATAATTGTATGTACCAATATGTAATATCATAATGAAAATATGAATTAAATAAAGTGTTTTGATGAATGTAATAATCAAAGGCTAAATGCTTTTACATCAAATTATTTTTTATAATTTTTTTTAAATTACTATTTCGCCAGTCTCCAAAAATTACTGACTTATTTACTATAATTTATCAAGTAAATTACTAGTTATTTTCATCTCTATCTACAATAGAAATCATAACGGTCATAGGGTTAAGTTCTTAAGTAGATCTTTAGAAAATTAACCAATCATAGTCGCTTATTCTTTTCATGTTGAACTGTGATTGGCTAATTTTCTATGACTTAAGACTACCATATGACCGCTACGACTTCCATTGTAGAACCTCCCGTTATAATTTAAAGCTTACTACCTATTGTATTTCGGGACTTATGCAAATAGCACACCTGATGGAAGGCTCGTATATATGGATCTTCGATGTCAATTGAAGTGACGGTACCATCCAAGAATCTGCCGAAGACACTTGCGTAGCCATACCCAATCGATCCATCCTCGATTTTAATTAGTTCTGTGTATATACCAGCTAATTTCCTCGTACTGATCAACTTCTTCACCTTCTCGGCTCTGTCAAGATACTCTCTCGCTTTGGTCGTAAGGTATTCCACCTTGAATGCTTCCTTCGTTTCTGCATCGTTTTATTATCTTGAACTTCTTGATAAAAGCAGTAATAATAAAGCTGATATAACATTTTTTTTTTCTCTTAAAATGAAACTAGAAGCAAAAGGTATCTATATTGATCTATATAGTATACCTTTTACCGCATCAAGGAGTATCTGCACGCCTTCCTGGTATAACACCAATGCCATCGTATATTGCTCTTTCTTGTCCATTTCCACTGCTCGCTTCAAGATCGAAACCGCCGCGGATTCCATCGTACCTCGTGTTTCAGAGCGCGACGATGTACAACACTGAGCCGTGTATTCTAGAAGGATACTAACGATAAGTCACGATCGTACATGAATCGTTAGCTTTGTCTCTTCTAATCTGGCTTTATCTGAGCGCACGTGATAGCTGAATAAACATAAGGTCTGTTCTTTTCAGTTAAAGTTCTTGCATGGTTCATCTTTTTTTTTCTATCTTAGAGAGAAAAAGAGAAAGCTAAACTATGCAAGTTCAGCTAAAAAGAACTGGCCTATAGTCTGTGATTCGATTTACTGTAACAATGCTTAAGAATTCATTTCATCCTTTTTGTTTATCAAATATTAAATAAGGATATATAATACTTACGAATGTGTGAGGATGAATTAGACCGCGACAATAATATTCACGTAAGTATATTCTCGTATGTGCGAAGTCTGGAGGATTCGTAAAAGTGACAATTGCAACGGCAGGAGAATATCTTGTTATCTCAACGTAATTTGAGTGTGCGAAATGTTCCCCGTCACGCAGCCTGCATTCGAATTTCAAATATCGATTATCGAGAGATCGCTCGCACTCATATGTTGCCCCTCCATCTTGAAACTCTTGTTCCTCCTTTGCAACCGCAACTACAAAGTCTATTTTACAATGCGCTCTTTGTTTCTTGTTTCTTGCTTTTCTCCTCTTGCTTTTTCCTCCTTTGCAACCGTTTTATCGACAATTGTATTTTCTTGCTACGTATTTTCTATTTTTTCCGAAATTCGTTAACTTTTATCTTCAATCATAAAGCTCATTCCCATAACCATAAAGCCTATTCTACAATGTGCTTTTTTTCTATTTTCTGCTTTTTGTTATTTTTCGTGTCTTTTCATCCGGTTTTTTGTTTTATCCGAGATAAAAATTAACGAAGAAGCAGGAAACATATAGCAAGAAACACAACAATCAATAAAACGATTGCAAAGGAGGAAAAAAGCAAGAAATAGGAAAAAAGTACATTGTAGAACAGGCTTAAAACACCCCGGACACAATGAAAAGAAATAGCGATAGAAATAATACAATCTATCAAAAACTGTATATTCCAGTGTATCTAATTTCTGATAGGTTAAAAACGTGTTATTTCTATCGCTATCGCTTCCTTTGCATTCTGGAGCTTAAGGGTGCATCACAATAGAACGAATAAGGAATTAGGAATAAGGAATAAAGATTTCAACTTATCAGATATCGGATACACTGGAATACATGGTTTCTGATAGGTTATTGGGAATCGTTATTTTTGTTATTCCTAATTCCTTATTCCTAATTTCCTTATTCCTTCTATTGTGGCTGCATCTTAATTAGCCGCGGCAGACTCAGGCTATGACCCACTTGATGTTACGAATGTTTTGAAGCATTTTTTGATTGGTCAGTTAATAAAATTCTTTCTTCCGAATTGGTCAATCAAAAGTTTCAAAACATTTGTAACGTCAAGTAGCACCCTCAACTGTTGCAGAGCGCTGCTATTGGTGTATTTTTTTAAATCATCCAAATAGCGTGCATTGAGTCTACTGAATGCGACCATTCTATGTCTGATTATACATCTATTTTAATTCAAGAAATTATAATATAAATAATATAGTTACACCAGAGTTCTATATAATATACTGACATGCCTTCCCTGTACTAAATTAGAAAACTACGAATTTGAAGGAGAAAAAGAAGGCAAATACACGAATGCTTGCTGTTCTCTTTCCTGCTTATGATAAAAAATCAACATTAGCTAATCAGCGAATCTCTGACGAAGAAAACCATATCTTTACAATTTTTGCAATGGAATATTATTGCCTCTCTAAATTCTTTGAAGTGGAATTTCATTTAAGTAGGTCTATTTTCTAAACTAATATATATATAAATTTTATACTTTTGGAACTTAAAATGAAATAGATTTATCTGATATTTAGTTGAAGTGAGAAAGAAGTTGTAGATACAGTCTAGGAATAAAAAAATAGACCAACTAAAAGAGAAAATTGAACCAATCTTAAAAAAGAGTGAAATTTCAAAAATATTCTTTAAAATGAAATTCATTTTAAAAGTTTAGAAAATAAGAAAATCGGAACGCTTCCATTTCTCAATGGTTCGATTCAATTATATTATATAGAGCTGAGGTTTATTGTTTACTCGAACTGATTTTCGTCTCTATTTATTGTGACTTGAAATTATAGAAAAAGATAGATGAATTCTTAATCAGGGTTGGGAATGTATCATATCCTGTGTATCATACATAGATATTCTATGTATGATACTGAAGTATAATACCACTTCACTTTCATACATTTATGTATGAATACATTTATGTATGATTTCATACATTTACATTACATAATCTTATTTAGATGTTTTGGACTGGCAAAACAAATTTACATTTTATACAATATCAACAATTTGAAATATGACAATATAATTGTATTGAAAATTAATTAGAAAATTATGTAATATCATAATTAGATTCTATGTATCTTCAAATTAAAAAAATTAAATTCACACGCGGTAAGAACAAAAATTACAACGAATTATTAATATTATTGTATACCAAATTCATGTATATATCCAGTGAGAAATGACAATGAAATTTATATTGAATCAATGTCGATTCAACATCGATTTTATAATTTCAATGTCGACATCAATTTAATGTCGATTCCATTATTATTTTTCATTGGATATTGCACTTATATTTTCAGTATTATTTCCTTTCCGCTTTTTATTTGCAAACTACATTTTTAATAAAACTGGAAAGTTTTTTGGATTTATTCCCAATCAGCAATATACAAAACTTCAAATAACCTAAAAACATTGTTTTTTAGTCAATAAGATTAATAAATTAGAGGTTAGGGTCATGTTAAAAGTATTATACAAGTTTGATACGTATCAAACTCCAGAATATGTATCAAACCAATCCTGTTAATGTTTTCTGTCTCTTTCTAAAGTGAGATGCAATGAGAACGCGCAGTTTATATTCTCGCGTCTATGGTTGCTATGATACAAGATTTACCCTGTGACGCGAATCTTTTCAATATGAAACACAACTGGCGACGCACCGTGACGTTAACTTCTATCTAATTGCAGCAAGCCATTGTTGTGTGACGCTGGCACATCCTTGACAAAGAGAAATGTGAAGTTGTACAATCACTTGTGCGCGAGAAATTCTACTTCTTTGTTATAATTCTTTGTTATAATTCTTCGTTAGGAACAATTAGATGAGATAATTTTTTGGCTTGATTCTTTGAAAGGTTCCTACAACACTCAACTTGACAGGACTCGCGTACGACACTTTCGAGTTTCGAGATTACTTCTAGTACGTCGAACGTCATCGCTGATGTGACGGCACGTGACGTGATCGTAGTGTTATTATTGGGCGGGAATTTTTAATTGGTATTCTCCTAACAACTGATTTTATATATAGGGTAAAATCAAAATGTTTTATATATATAATTATACATATAAAACATGTGTGCAATCGTTATAAATTATATTTGAACTGTTATTTGATACTTTTGTAATTTGCTTTTTTATTTATATATTTTTATGTTACTGAGGATGACATAATGAGGGTCGAAACATTTAGCATTGTATTGAAATTATTGTAATATTAAAATTCATTTATTAGTACTTTACATCCTGCATTAACTCGTAGCCTTTATCATTTAATTTGTTTTAAAATATATATGCATGTACATAATATAAATTATGTATGTTATGTATATAAACTATATCATAGTATAATACAATATAACATTGTAAGTATTGCTATGTGTGTGTGTATGTGTGTATATATATATATATATATATATCTCATTTACTATATATAGATCATTTACTTCCAACAAAAAATAAAATCCAATAGATATTACAAAGATTGTGAATTAAAGCTAATTATTCAACACTAGAATTAATATATAATACTCTTTAATAATGACAACAAACATATTGATTTTCATTCTCAATATTATACTATATAAAATTCAATAACGGTGAAAAGCAGTCTTTATTAATAGAATTAATCAGGATGTACTATTTCAAATTGTTCCTACAAATTAACGAATAATTATAAAAATAATCAACATATTTTTTCAGGTATACAATGAAGTCCAACAAAAATTTAAGTAATAGCGGACTGTGGGGCGAGTTGCCAGCAAGGGAGACGATTAAGCAGGAAGTGATAACACCAGATCTAATAGAAAACGTTTGGCGACAGGTCATGGATGATTCAAACAGTACAGATTGTGATTACCGGATTGATCGGCAACCTGAATACTTACAGTAAGTATAATTTACTATGTTGATGTGTGAAATGATGAATTAATTAAACATATTATTAAACATATATAATATTTGTTATAGATTACCAATGGGAAATCTACATGTATTAAATACTATAAATCTTCATCAACAATTACGTACAATGGTAAGATTTAAACAGATCTTAGTACAAAGCTTTTGCTAATGATATACTAAATATATTGATATGATAATCTCTTTTTTTTTTAAGGAAGAGGGAACTATGCTTGGGAATATGACTGTTGTAGAATCATCAGATTCAAAAGATACAAAAGATATAACATGTTCTAAAAATCTATTTCATTTTCTGCCTTATCAATCAAAAAAGTATTTCTTGCATTAGCTTAAAGTATTATACAATAATGCAGATAATCACATTAATTATTATAATTATATCGTTTCAGGAATACATTTAAAGATAATTCTACTATAAATTACTTAATACCAAAAACTGCACGAAATTTGTTAAGGCACACTGTGATCACTTTGTTAGCGCATATAGGATATGAAAACTCGTCAGATGTAGCCATAGAAACGCTTACCGATGTCGCGGATCATTTTTTAAGGCGAATGACTCTTCTGTTGAAAGCAGCAACTGAACAGAAGGATCATGGATTTCCTGTAAGAAGAGAGAAAGCTGCGCAATTAACGTTACAATTAGAGATTCTATAATAGTCCATAAACAATTTTGTCAAAACAACAGAGAGAAATCTGTGTGAAAGATATGTTATCATTATTTCAGTTTACTTAACTGTCTCGTTGTAAAACTAATTAAGATTACAAATTGAGACGCAGTATAAGTTAAAATGAAATAGTATGTATACAGAGAGAAAATATATCTTTTTCTCTCAAGATTTTGATAAAATTGTTCTTGACTAGGCTTTGTTATATAATCTTTAATCATAATGACTGCATTCAGTAAAAAAAGTAACTTTGCAACTGTTGTAAGATTTTTTAATATGATTGATTATACATTTAGAAGCAAGAAAATAAAGGCAGAAACCAATTCTATTAAACAATCTTAATTAATTAAAGATATTCTAAAGATATAATAATAATAATATTATAATAATAATAATAGCTATTTTAATATAATATTATTATTAATATATATAGTAAAATCTTATTTTGCTCGTTTATTGATCAATAAATTACATTTAATTTGTTTTATCTATTAATTTTATATTAAAGAATCTTACAATAGTTGCAAAGCTACTTTTTTTGTTGAACGGAACTAATAATGTATAGTTCTATATGTTAGATTTTTTTGTATTCAGGATGCTGTGGAAAGAGTAATGCTGGAAACAGGCGTGGGAGATGTATCAGCGTTGCATGATTACTATCAGGAATACATCTTGAAATTCGAAGAGAACACAAAGAGGAAAGTCGAGGAAATGATGGAGAGACAGAGGCAACTTGAACTTAATGCTTATAGTATTAAGTATTAGACTACATTGAGCCACTGACATCATTTTCTCAGGACATATGCTGCATTTTATGTAAATATTCGTCATCAATTTTTTTCAGACTGGATGAGGCGGCCAACAAGCTACAATTCGAAGAGCTCGACGAATTTGGCAACGTATACCGTGAAGTCCCGACGTTACAGCTACTCGATCCCGACATGGGATTTCCACCCAGCCTGGACGCTGGCTTTCAAATGCTCTATAGTCTCGAACAAGATGAATAGACTTTCTTTCTCGAGTTAAAATAATAATCTTGCTGCTTCGAGTTTCTAGATTGAATAGCATAGAACAGGAGAGAATGTGAACGTGAGCGATTCTCCGATCGCGAAGCAATGATTAAACGATATTTATACATAAAAGATGTTATACAAAATTTATGATTTCCATTCGCCATCTCGCAACACCTATTTCGACTCAACGCGTCGAGATTTATATAAAGAATTTTCTTTGGAAGACTTTACATTTTTTTATAATTACACCATATAATTAGCGAGAACACGAACCAAAGCGGGATCGATAAAGCAGGTCGCTTATAATACAAGCGTTCGCGATTAATAAGGTAGAACGCATTTTGTCCGGCGCGACGTCACAGACGTCGCGTCCTTGCGGATTGTAAAACGACCTGGTTCGCGTCTCCGTTATCCGCGATATAGTGCGTTTTCCTCGTACGTTTCTTGTTGCGCTCGTTACGTGTTCCCGCTTCCGAATGCATCGTCACTGAAGTGAACCCTCAGCGCTCGCGGCCTGGAGCGTAGCGTACCAGCTTTCGCCACGCGTCCCAGAATTACATCGTGACGCGCGCTGACGACACATCAAAAATGGCAGATTCTGCGCCCAGCAAGGCCGACATCGAGGAAATATTCAAGAGGCTGCGAGCTATCCCGACTAACAAGGTTTGTTGAACGCGAATATCGCGATCTGCAAATCGACGGCGAATAAAGCGGGACGGGATCCAAGTCCATCAGACTGATCGGATGATGGGATCGCGGATGTTACGCTGTCAGACTGCGGTTCCCCAGCGAAATCTAACTTCCAGTTATGTTGTTATATACCACAACTTTTAAGATTTCTCAGATTTTTAAAGCTTAATATTCTTTAACGATTCATTTTCTTGGTTTTCCTAACCAACAATGCTAAAATGAAACTTTTGCAAATTTTTATTTACTTATTCATTGATCCTGATAATCTTTTAGCTTACAACAAACACAAAAAAAAAGAATGTCTGGACTTTCAAACACTTTCAGCACTATATAGATAGATTAACAAAAGGATATTTATATATATCTATCTAAATTTCTTTCTTATAAGTTATATAATTATATTATATAAATTCTTTAAACTAAAAGGTTCTCTCTTAATCTAAATGGATCTTTCATATACTGATTTGTTTTTACCTTTTCTAACAATTCCAGATTTATCTTTGTAAAAAGAATCATTATTTATTCAGTTAATATTAAGATATGTTATGATATTGCTTATTATTTGAATCTTTATTCTTTACAACAAGGAAAGATCTTTTAGTATGAATTTTTTCAGTTCTTGTTTCATGTTTAATAAATGTTTTGATTGAACATTATTCAACACATTATCAAGTATATTATTGTCCAGATAATATCATTTCCTGTTATTTCTATCCTTTAAAATAGTATGTTTAAAATATTATATATAATATGCAACAAACATAGTTACAAGAAATTATTCATATTTTTTTCTCTTTCTCTTTCAGACATGTTTCGATTGCAATGCAAAGAATCCAGCATGGGCCAGTGTAACATACGGCGTGTTCTTGTGCATTGACTGCTCGGCGGTGCATCGTAGTCTGGGAGTTCATCTCACCTTTGTCAGATCCACCCAACTTGACACAAACTGGACATGGCTGCAGCTGAGGAATATGCAGCTGGGTGGTAATGCTAATGCTGTTAGTTTCGATGTCTTGTAACATTTAATAATTCCACTTTTGTTGAAAAAAATTTGATTGATAATCAAATCGGTATAGTTCATATCTTATTACTGTTACCTTAGAGAAAATTTTTTGCACAACAAAACTGTACCATGAACGACGCCCAACAGAAGTATAAATCGCGTGCGGCTATGCTGTATAGGGAGAAATTGAGTCAGGCATCTGCCCAAGCGATGCGTCGTTATAACACAAAGGTATTTATATAGGATTATTGAACGAATATTTGTGATATTTGGTAGGCATTATTAGATCCGTCCTAATTATGAATTATATAATAATTATAGGTCTCCCTTCCTACATCAAAAAATAAAACAATGGTGAGCTGAGTAAATATTTTGAGAAATCAGTTCCTTCTTTTTTTCACAATTCTATTAACATCCACTTATGACATCTTAACAAAGCTTTTTATTCCTAAACTTAAATATGTCGTTATCATTGCAATCAATATCGATGCACACTTCTCCATGTGTGATAATCTACAATTGTACAAATATATATGTTTGATTGTTTACAAAAATGCTATCTATCATTTATGTTCACAATATAAAATTCGCTATCAA